CACGACTTCCTCCTGATGTAAATCTCTACAGTCGCTAAGCTATTATCAGTCGTGATGGTCATATTGATTTGTCCCATGCTATAGATTATCACCTGTGTCTTGATTTGAAACCTCACCTTGTAAGGAGAGATGGCATGAAAATTGGTGGATCACATGTGGTGTTTGAAAGGGTTAATTAAACACCCACATAAAATACAAGGCAAACAGGAGGGGTTAATTAGGCTGACAAATGTGGCAGAGTTAATTATGAAAGACTTGTCAGGGGATCTGTGAGCGACTTATTAAGAGTGTCAACCGCCTGTGAAATAATACCACCGTTATCAAGATGGGCTCTGCTCCATTGTCACCTTCTGGGTCTTGTACTTCGATAAGTCACATTGTAAGACAGGTTTAGTAAGGACCACTGGAGCAGCAGTAGGGTTTAACTAAATATTGCTGTGTAGATTTCTGAACTTTAAGCAGGAATGATTTTCAGGTGGTAGCGATTATTTGCCAGCCTTGCCTATTAAAACAATAATTAGTCTGCGTTCTTGCATGAAACTCCTTCTAATAAAGCGTTCAGAGATCTCGCTTGAGTGGTAGTTAATAAATAATAATTTTGAAAAACATTGATTTGGCTATAGTCGCTGAAATAGAGTATTTTATGACTGTGAAGGTTGTTGAACAGAGAAGTGTAATTTTTTAGGGTATATTCTGACCCAATTTAGTGAATGCTGGAGGTGAGTCGAACAAAATGTTCTTGTTGAAATAACCCTGTTAGTTTTCTTGTTGAAATAACCATGTAGGTTAGATCATATCTTTGGTTGTCATGGTTACAAATATGACTTATTTTCGTTTGGCACGTTTGACAAAAACATTGGACATTCTACGACCAGATGAATTTGGATATTTTGATGTAGAGAAAGCTCAAGTAATATGCTGTAAGAAAACAAAAAATGGTCACTCCATTGAAGAACCATTCTAATATTTTGTTTTCTTTCTGACCTGATGGTGCCCCTGGAGATTTCGGGTTAGAATATATCCCCAGTTACCTTAACGACTAAATGGATCATGTGATCAGATTCAATGACTTATTCTCATGTTGAAGACCCGGATTTGATTCCCCGCATGGGTACAATGTGTGAAGCACATATTCAGGTGTTCCCGCTGTGATATTGCTGGAATATTGCTAAAAGCGGCGTAAAACCATACTCACTCAATGACTTATTCATTGCATTAATTTATGTCATCGGACTGTGATCTTCTGGACAGATTTCGGATTAGTGTAGGTCCCCATTAATCTATCATATTGCATGAGGTGACTATTAAATCTGGTGGTCAGACTCAATGTCCAAACACACAACACACAACACCTTTATTTCAAGTTAGAGGACGCAGGCCCATAGAACATAACATTACCGGAATACAATTACTGACAAAGTGACTTATACAATTTCATTGCATTCAATATAAATTTCGATAGCTGTACAATAGTAGGTTTATGATTAAATGACATCAGACGAACAAAGGATTCCAGTGACGGATTTACAAAGTATTTAGGATCAATGTATCAATATCTTAAATCATTAATAGCAGGGCATGCAAGTGCAAAATTATATTCATTTTCCACTAGACTTATACTCAATGGGCTTACATTCGGTTGACATTTGTTAATTACGGTATATTTATTTGAATCATGATCATACAGGGATGAAATGAATGATTTAATCTTGATGTTAGTGTTGTGAAATTGGTGATTTGTTTGCTGCTAGTTTCACAGATTGCACGTATTCTATACTTCTAAACTTCTAAAATGTTAAGAACCACCTTCATATTACTTTTCTTTTCTTTCTTATTACTATAGTCCTTCACTTTTATTGAGTAATATATGAAACAACAGACCTTAAAGTTTGATTTATTTGTGGAGCAATCTGTCTCCACAATATGTTTTCTACACTAACCAAACCAATATTTAAGAGACAAATCCATTACATGATGAGCTGTGTTGTTAAATACTGTAAATAGTGAAATTAATGCGTCTCCAAAAGAATGCGACCACTGGCCCCAAGCCAAAAATGCCTTCCTTCCAAGACTTTGATTCCGGGGTAGAATAGGTCTTCAGCAACCCATGCTTGCCGTAAAAGGCAACTATGCTTTTCATAAGAGGCAACTAACGGGATCTGGTGGTCAGGCTTGCTGACTTGGTTGATGAATGCCATCGATCCCAATTGCATGGATCAATGCTCATGATATTAATCATTAGATTTTCTTGTCCAGACTCGATTATTTACAGACCGCTGTCATATAGCTGGAATCTTGCTGAGTACGGCGTTAAACAACAAACCAAACCAAACCAAATCTAAGACTTTGATATATCTACACAGGCTCAATGTCCTGGTGGACTGTGTGTCGTCATACCTAATGGTGTAGGATGTTGTCAGTAATATCACTGGTTTCACTATTTGCTGGCTGCTGTTATGGCTCGAACGCCTCTGTAGATCTGACTTGATGGTGATTGGGTGGTTACAGTGTATGACCTGCCAAATATGGAGGGTTACTCAGACAATTAGCCAGTTACAGCGAGGGGCATTTCTCATAATGTCAGTCACTGATTTGTCTGGTCCAAGACTCGATTATTTACAGGCTGTTCAGAAAATATTGCTGAAATAATCTTGACTGGATAAAACAACATTCACTCACTTATGCGAGTACACAGATGCTTCTCATGTGTGATGTATATTTAGAAACATTGTTGCTATATACTAGTCATACTAGCTAGGTAGTTAGATAACTACTAACACCATCAGATGCAGTTGAATCATTCTGACCCACCAGGAGAAAAGGGTCCTCATGGGTACTAGGATACAATTGTGCTGTGACGTCATAAAGATGTTCGAAGACGACTTACTTCAGTGAAGATCGCCACATGTGCTGACTGAACAAAAATATCTTTTTTTTCTCTCGTTAGTTCGTAGTGTGATAAAACATTATTTCAAAACCTTTCAGCATACATATCAACTTTCAATTCATCAGACATTTTTTATGTTTGAAAACTGTAATTATTGCAAAAACAGTTATAAGTCGGAAAATGAGCCCAAATGTTTGTTGTCATGTATCTCTGTAATAAATATCAATCGAAGCTTGTGAATTGTATTTTTGTGTTACGTAGTTTTAAGATATAATGAAAAGTCAAAATAGGATTTTTTACCCACAAGGTCCTTTTTCTCCCAGTGGGTCACATATGTTGTTCGGGGATTTATCTAGGATTCGAAACCTAGTGCTGTTGGGATGCAAATTGGGGGAAAAAAATTATTGTTGAAAATTGGGATTTTTGAAGAATTATTATACATGTATTCTGTAATCAGATTTATTTAAACATTGCCTTGACTGCAATAATGTAAAACCTAATTAAAAGCCTCTTCCTCTTGATAGTTTCATTGTTCTGTTATCAGCGAAATACAAGTCACCTTGACCAAGCCATGACATTAGTTGAATAACAATTTATTTATTCCAATTTGGGAATGTGTGCTGACATTGGCAGCAGGCTTGGAGGTGAATATCGTCCTCTCAGCAGGTTCCAAGGAATCCTTGTGTGATTATCATTTTATCAGTGATGGCTGATGTGCATAATGTATTTTAAAAAAGACCATTTATGATATTTTATCTGGGCCCCCGTTGTATAAAAAGATCTTAGAGCTATGATTATTGTAAGCCTATGTTAAAGTATGGGAGTTCGATCGTCTTAGTGCTAATATTGCTTTGTGCAACAGGGCCCTAGTCTGACCTGTATAACCTACCCTAAGTTTGATCAAAGTCATAAAGGGATAATTACAGAAGTTAATAGTGCTGTTTTTGTTTGAAAACAATTGTTGGTCAATTGTCCAGGGTTGTAGGAAGAGACCCAACATTCCGAATTCTTTTCTGACTGAAGATGGCGGACATGTTTTGTCTGTAAATATTTTTCTTTTGCCCAGACTTAAATAATATTTTTGTTTGAAGCCGTCCTACCTGTGTAGCCTGAGAAAGTAATTACCACAGCTAGAGTAGTTAGTGGTTAGTGTGATCTTGCTGTCTAGATTGGTGTTGTTGATACACTTAACTTGATCCCCCAAGATCGAGATGATCCTGGTTAGATTTGGTCTTCAGCAACCCATACTTGTTGTAAGAGGTGACTAACGGATCAGGGGTCACTCTCTGACTTGGTTGATGCATATCACCTTATCAATTGCGTAGATTGATGCTCATGATGTCAATCCTTGGGTTGTCTGGTTATTAACGGGCCACCGTCATAAAGCTGAAATATTGTTGAGTGCGGCGTAAAGCAACAAACACTGTACTTATGAATCCTGTAATATGGCAAGGTTGCACAAATGGGAAGTGGAACACATGCTTGAAGGTTGCACACACAAGCTGTGGTTGCACATGTTTGAAGGGTTAATTCATATTTAGAGATTGCAATCCAGGTGTTTTTGTTTCAAAAAAAATAATGAAGATAGCCTATGTAGATCTAACCAGTTCTACACAAGACACTGACTATTTGTCAAATTAGACCTTGTTTCATTACTTTGTTCTCATTATTGTTTAAATAAAATTAGATAAAGTGTTCAAAATAGAATTTAAATTGCTGAAACATTTCACAAAAATTAGAAGTGTACTGCGTGTAGTGTTTCTTGTAATAAGTAAAATAGCTCCCTTCCTTTAGAAATTACTTAAGCTGTTTATCATGTTTATTGTTATTGTAAATAACCTGGGAAAGAAGTAAAAAATATTCATGCAAAAATCAACAATGTCAATAAATATGATATATCATAATCAAATTGTTTAATTTTTTAAAAGATAAAATTGTCATTTTCAATTTATAATCAAGGTAGTGACTTATGAATATTCTAAAAATACTTCTTTTATTGTTGAGTGTCGATGTTACTAGAGACAACCTTATCAAATCTGCCTGTCTCCTTTATTAGTTATAATACTTGGTTAATCCTGTGTCCATATTTGATGTATTTTTGTTTCATTGACAGAAATTAGAAGATTCAGTTCTCCGTGACAGCAAGGACTACACACTGAGGGGTGACGACGGGAGCTCGTCAAGAAAGGTCCCAGCTCGTATCCGAGAAATAATCACCCGAAACTTGGCAACAGACAGTCTAGCTTACACAAACGTCACCATGTCGACATCGACCCCTCAGCAGTTGCAGGAGGAGAACCAACTCCTTTCGAGCGAGCTGAACCGTTTGGAAGATCACCTATCTGCAAGTCGGGCGGAGAGAGATGAGCTTGGCATCAAATACAACGCTCTCAGTGAACGGGTAAGAGAGATTTTAACATATGCCATCAGTAAGTTAGAGCAGAAAGTGATATATTTTATTTGTTTTGCCCTTCACTCAGCAATATTGGAGCTGTATGATGTCGGCCTGTAAATAATTAAGTATGGACCATAGGGCTGGGATGAGTCCAAATTTACTACCCGGGTACCCTACACCCTATTATCAGGCCCTACCCGGATACCCACTACAGGTCTCAAGAGTTGGGTACAAAATGTCCGAATGGGAATTGTTTTCCCGCAGCCCTGGCAAGAACTATTTAGATACACGTATAAAACAATCTGATCATGTATACTCTGCAGTTGACAGACACTTTATCCTTAGTCGAACATATAAAAGTCAGAACAAATGCCTGCATAGTGAGAAAGAAATGTGAACATTAGCTATACTTGTAGTGTAACCATTGAGTTTTATTGTTAATGGCATTAAAGAGTATGTAACGTGACTAACCACGGGGCCGGGTAGTCATGTGGGTACCCGGGTCCTACTCCGGACCCACCCGACCCGAGTTCCCGAGTTACCCGTCCAAGCCCTAGTGGACCAGACAGTCCAGTTCTCAGTGTTGTGCGTAACGATCTACACCATCTGGGCACAAGGTCACGGCATCAGTCAAGACACCAAGCCTGGCCACTCTTATGACCGGCATGGGTTGCTGGGGCCCTATTCTAACCCAGAGACTCCTGAAAAGTAGTACATAGGGATATTTTAGGATCTACCGTATATTATTGGGTATGTTTAAACGTAATCACCGGTAGATGGGAGACCATGTGTGTATGGCTGATTGCTATTTCCAGGTTCGTTTACGAGACAAAACACACGGTAATCTGTATCCCTGCATATAAAACAATGCCTAGCAGAACAAGAAATACATCATGTCTTGTGATGTTTAAACCCAAGTTTCACATTTTCGTTGGCAAAGTTTGTAAGCATTGTTCATTCACTTTAAGGGATAGATGTAGTTTTTTTACCAACAGAAAAAGAGTTTGATGAAAGTGTAACCCATACATAAGCCGACCCCTTCCTACAGATTTCTTGCTTATCTACGGTGTTATCTATGGTCATATACGGTATATCTACCTGGGTCTACTTGCACATAGCAACCTTAGGGCTACAGCTTTCGTCACGCTGGTACTCTAATAGACTTCCAACATTCATAGTGCTGAGATCGCTTTATTCAAGTGGGTCCAGATGACATAGGAGTGATGTATTTTGAAACAGAGCTACAGATAAGGAGACAATTATTTTAAATTAACTTGCGTACAGAAACGCATGCATTAAATGAAAAACTCAAATGTATAAAAACAGCTCGCATAAATACCCAATGAAGCTTTTTCAGCAGGAGCTAATTTCCAAAACACACTTACGAGCTAATTTACTTTCCGTGTCTAGCCTATATATTTAGAACAGTTATATACATCTAAAACATTATTTCATTTTTTTTTTAATTTTGGGGAAAACCCAAATAGAGTGATGAATAGATGAGAATTTGGTTACCCAATGAAAAATGTAATAACCCAATTAAAATAGAAACCGTAGAGTAAAAACTCAATTGCTCAAAAAGTTATCTGGAGCTCTGTTGAAAGTTGAGGAGAAGTAAGGCAAAAATACAGTAACTGAATAATTCTGAATGGGTGAGTGAGTGAGTTGTAACACCAATTTGAAAAGCGTTGCAGTTACATCACATGTGTCAGTTTTAGTTGGAAGAAAACACGAAGTGATGACGGTCTTAAATGTTTTGGTGAAATTCACGAACAAGGATACGGAGCTGACAAACCAAATGTGAAACGTCTTGAATTCAAACAGTTTCATGGCACATCTAAGGGACACAACTCTGCACAACAAATTAAGTAATTATCATCACTAGCACTGTAGCAGTAGCCACACCTAGATAGTTGGTTGAGAGAAGTTGGCTGTCTGCGGTTTCATGCCCACTCTCCAATTAGCGAAAACACTTCTGTCATCTGTGAAGATTCCATGGGCTGATGCAACGATCCATGGACGATATTTCAGACATTTTAATAATTAATCGGCAAATTACTGATGGCCAATGACAGTTTGAATCAATGCACAGCAGGGTCGGAAGGCTATATTGGTGGAATCGGAATTAGACGTTTAGCAAGATGAGGAAACAGCTGACAGGCATATTGTATACACAGTGAGAATCTAGCGATCTAATGATTTCGTTATTTGCAAAACGACAATTTGTAATGAGAATCAGTCATTATCGGCACCCTTTGAAACAAATCTCAATTCATTGACGATCATAAAGAATGATTAAGATCAGACTGCAGCTATTTTAGTGGCACTCAATAAGGGGAAATAAGATTAAATATACTACTCAAAGGAAGTTAAGGTACACCCATGAAAGATTAACTATATCAATATGAAAGGATCAGGTGGCCCTTTACTTCTTTTGAGTAGTATATTTACCAAAACCTCCCACCCCAACCAACTTACAAATGCTTTGTTTCACCTTGCTGTCCGTGATTTGCATGAGAGTGACTGCAGGGAAAAGAATAAGGATTAAAAAATAAAGGATGTGGAGTATTCATTGATTAATTCACAAATCAATAATCTTTCATGTGAAATGTTTAAGAAATATTTTTTTAAGGTGTTTTAAGGACTGTCTTCATGTGGAAATGAATGAAACAATAGAATGGGACCCAACCCCCAACCACCAACCCCCATCCCCAACCCCCCCAAAACACAACCTTAAAATGACTAGGAAAGATAGTGAGGTCTTTTAACAGTAGTCCAGTTATATCACGACGTGTCAGCTTAATGTGGGAGGAAAGCCCGAAGTGATGCAGATGAGACATGTACCACTTAAGTGAAACCCACGAGCACGGGTATGATGCTGACAAACCTAGAAACATAATCAGGGTGAACCGGGATTTGAATCCACAATCATAGGTTTCTGGCGTGCCCAAGGGACGCAACTCTGCACACCGAATTATGGTGCCTTAGACGACTGTGCCCTCCACTAGGAAAGATAAGATCACCACATGTTTTTAGATACCTGTATGAATGTGGTGGAGGAATTATTTGAAGTCATACTCATACACATGGTTAAGGCAAATGTCATCTGTACAATAATTTATAATAAAAAAAGTATTGAAAATTCTTTTTAATTGAAAAATAATGAACTCCAGCTGATGTATAATAAATGGATGAAAGTCTAATAACTAATTTTTCATGGCCCTAAGTAGGATGGATTGGTTCACAGAGAACTCGGGTCAGGTTAGGCTTGTTTCGCACGTCACGTTTCACAGGTTTAAATTGTCCAACATGATGAATGTCTTCGGGGGAACATGAGATCATTGTTGCCACTGGTGGGGCCATAATCACCCCGATGTATGGTGTAATGCTTGATAAGATTTCATGCGACTAATCTTCACATATTGATTATTGGATGACAAAAATGTAATTGACTTTGGTTTTGTTTTATTACTATTTTTTTTGTGATCAGTGCTTATTTCAAGTTTCAACTTGTTCTTGAGGTATAACATTTTTATACTGGCGTCATTTTCTGAGAATTGGGAACATGAAGTGGGTGGGATCCTCGAGAGACAGACCCATTAGAAGGCTGTTGAACCGTAACAGTGAAACGGCTACCTGTACAGGTGAAGCACAGACACCCACTTGATCACATGGGGGACCAACCATTTGATAACTGTGTCTGGCTGGGATTTTGAAAAGGGTATTCAAATACAAATTTGAAAAAATTGTTGAAATACACTGGCTGTCCGGAAAAATTGTAATAAAAATGTTTTAATTGATGAGCTCCTACTTTCAACAACGTCAGAGAATTGAATTTATTACGTCTTGAAAACTGAAAATTTTCTCTGTTGTCAACATAAGCATCTTCCCTTTCGTCACTCAACCCCCCTCCAACCCCCTCCCCCCCCCCTCCCCCTCTTCCGCTGTTCCGCCTTCTCTCTCATAGTCCTGCACCAGCCCCTCTCTCTTGTCATGATGTCATTGCCACTGTGATGGCATTGCTGTTGTGACAATGCTACTAATATGATGTCACTGCTGTTAAAAGCCAATGCAACAGTTATCATCATGACGTCGCTACTTTCATGTCGTTGCTACTTTGATGTTATTGCTACTGTGACATGATACCTGCTGGGCTTCCATTACCAGTGTGATGCCTCTGCTACTATGAAGTGTTAGCTACTGGGATGTCATTGTACTATGATGTCATAGCTATTGTGATGTCATTGCTACTGTGTTGTCCTTAGCTATTGTGATGTCATTGTTACTGTGATTTCATAGCTGTCGTGATGTCATTGCTACAACCATGTCATAGCTACTGTGATGTCATTGCTACTATGATGTCATTGCTATTTTGTTATAGCTACTGTGATGCCATGGCTAATATGTCATAGCTACTGTGATGTCATTGCTACTATGATGTCAATGCTATTCTGATGTCATTGCTATTTTGTTATAGCTACTGTGATGCCATTGCTAATATGATGTCATAGCTACTGTGATGTCATTGCTACAACCATGTCATAGCTATCACAATGTCACTGATACTATGTATATAATAATGAAATCTCCTTGCCTCATTCAGACGCGGACATTGTTTGTCCGAAACGGAGCCCTAGATTATGTAAGTTGAATTATAGACAACACTATATACCATGTACACAGCTAAGCTATAGACAACACTATTATTATAACATATACACTAGAGTAGCAGAAACAGCACTAATACAGGTGTGTTAGAACTAGATAGAACTGCTTTATCATGTTCATATAATCTTCTTTTTGAATGAAAAAATATCAGAATTAGCAGAAGAGAATAAATGCACAATGGTAATTGGGTGAGGTTCTTTCCTGTCTGTATTAAAAAACTTATTTTTGTTTCTTTTTGTAAAAATAATTGGCTCAAATAGTTTGAAATGGACGTGTGTCTCTTGTGTGTGTATCTTAATTAGTGATATGGATTGGCCTGACTTTTTTATTTGCAATTTGTTGCAATAATGATTCATGTATTGTGATATGTATCACAATATATTACATGCATCCTTTCATCTGTAGTATTGTTATGAACCTGAATATTAATGGACCAACACGTAGGACTTCCCCTGCACGCTTTTGACAAGATCGTAGCTGTCTACTATTTCATTGGATGTTGCCATGGTCACAGATAGGGGAAAATATCGTGTCATTGAGTTTACTAAAAATGTTAGTAAATTTTGGGAGCTATGCTTTACCACGCGCTATAACCGATGCGCTCAATAACGAGGGAACACTGTACGTAACAACTTGTAATGTGTGTGAAAAGTCGTACGAAAATACGCTATTTGAAGGGGGCATGGCCTAAATGCAAATGTCCGATTGGGATTTTAAATTTTCCGGACCCCTGTCACAAAGCATGCATAATAGACATTATATACAGGAAGCTGGTCGCAAATAACTTCTTTGATAGGCATTTAGAAGTTGGAGTACTAAGTAAGGATAAGAATGTATGGATGAACAACTTCTTTATTACAATTAAGAGTGACGTTTTGGTGTAGGTTCTAACACCGTGATCACTTGCTTGATAACGGTGTTAGAACCTACACCAAAACCTCGCTCTTAATTGTAATAAAAAAGTTGTTCGTCCATAAATTCTTATCCTTACTTGGTCACAAATAGTTTCGCTTTTTCGATCATAGGAATCAGTTGCTAATTTCATCATTTTAGTTCAACTTCTCACTTATATAAACAAGATGAAAGTATGCATGATTTTGAAAAATACAATATACTGGTATTTTCCAAAAATATTGTGGTATGTTTTCATTCGTATTAAGATTGTGGTATACCGGGAAACTGGTAATACTGGTACCTCTAATCTTTAAGACAAGCCCTTTCTCTTAACTGTGCAGATCAAGTGTATCAGTATATCTAGTGTATAACTTTCATATCGCTGCACTAATGTAGAATATGGAAGACATATTTTTAAAGATTCACATTGAATTAGGCATTGTTGGTGTATGTGTGTGAGTGAAATCTGAGCCCAACAAGCACAACAAGAGATCCTTTGGTTCAGTAATGGTGTTCTCCTAACAACTTAGTGGAATGTAGTTTATAGCAGTTATTTAGGTTAGATTTCACGATAACCATATCACTTCATCTAAACTTTCACTAGTCTTTAGCATTGCATTCCTTAGAAGGGTTAGAATTGTATGATTACTCATATTATATTAATAATATTACAAGTTTATGACATCAGAATAACCAAAATTAGTTTTTGACTAGTATTTTTATTTTATCAAACAGAAAATTTAGATTTAAAATATAATTGATTTTTTATTGATCTTGTGGCCGATAATCAAATTGTAACAATAATTGTGTTGAATGGTGAGTTCAATGCTTTGCAACAGAGGTTATGCCTGGCTTGCCTCTGAGTCTAGTACACCGGCATACCTACAGTCTCTCCATGTTAAGCAATGGTGGCTTGTGTAATCGATAGCTTTGCAGGGGACGCTTGAAGTACCGTAAACATACTCACGGTCAACATGTTTCCCTGAAACAAATTACATATCCCAGATATTCCTTTAGTGGTTGGTTCGGCTCTTAAATCTCTTTTAAAAAATAAAGCTGTACTCAACAATCATATAGTCTAGCTATTACAGCGGCCTGTAAATAATCGAGTCTGGACTAGACAATCCATTGATCAATATCAGGAGCAACGATCCCTGCTGTCGGGGAACGATGACATGCATCAACCAAGTCAGGGAGCCTGACCACCCGATCCTGTTAGTCACTTCTTATGACACGCATAGTCGTCTTTACGGCAAGCATGGGTTGCTTGAGACCTATTCTACCCTGGATCTTCACGGGTGGGGATGCTGTCTCACCACCAGCACTGTTAAGTCACCAGTGTAGGTTGGTAGGGACCAATTCCAACTCCTGTGAAAATCCGGGGTAGAATAGGTCTTCAGCAACCCATGCTTGTTGTAAAAGGCGACTATGCTTGTCGTAAGTGGTGAATAACGGGATCGGGTGGTCAGGCTCGATGACTCATCATATCCCACTTACATGGATCGATGCTCATGATGTTAATCACTGGATTGTCTAGTCCAGACCCGATATATTTACATACCGCCGTCATATAGTATGAATTTAGCCGAGTGCAGCGTTAAACAACAAACAAACAAGTGAGACTCTGCTCAATTATACGATGTCCATTTAAAGTGTTGATCTATGTCAGTGTATATGTTGCAATTGTGGCGCCACGTGACAAACATTACCCCTGTGTAATGAGGATGGTCATGACGTGAGATTGAAATGTATCATAAAATGTGAGTTTGTAGGACAACCAAACTGTTTCTAAGTGACTTGTATGAAACCAGTCTATGGACCAGGGTGCCATTGTAGAAAGCGATCTTAGCCTGAGGTGATCGTAACTCCCATGCCTTGTCAAAGACTTACGTCAGTCGTATTGCTAAGGTTGTTTTGTACAACGGCACCCAGGTGCTTGATAAATGTCTATATTGTTTCATCTTGTCAACTTTAGTGTTAAATGACTTCATTGTGACAAATGGATACAATGATCACTGGCAAATATCCCAGGTAATTGTTAAATGCTTATATCATATCCCATAGCCAAATGTCCACAATCCACCAGGTGTTTGATAAATCTCTATATTATTTCATCTTTCAAGACAATTTGTTAGTATGTCAACAGCTGGATACAATGATCACTAGCATATAGACCAAGTAATTGTTCAATGCATATATTGTATCCCATAGCCAAATATCCACAATCACATTTTCGACAAGATTCTATATCATGTATATAAATGCCAACATTGTTTCATCTTTCAAGACAAACTTGGGGTTAAATGCTTCTATTGTCAATAGCTAAACATCTATAGCCTATACAGACCAGGTGTTTGATAAATGTCTATATTGTTACATTACAAATGGCCACACAAGCGCCCAGTATTCTGGTGTTCGTTCATGTCAATGTACTCAAATCCACGGACACCTGGATTCTATTCCATCTGTTGTTTGACTTACGACTTGAGGTATTTATTCACGACTTGACTTCTGTATGTCTTGGTCAGTAGCTATGAAGAGTCAACATTTGTCGGACGATGTACTACAGTGTGTAGTGAATTGCCGGACCTTTTTCTTTTCTTTGGTCCCATGGGTGAACGGAGTACCTGTGTAAATATGTGAGCCATGTGTTACAGTCACACAGTGTAGACTTGTGTGCTCTCTTCACATCGGTAGCTAGTTGCTTTCATTGGGAGTAATGGGGAGGGATTGATTCAAGCTTTCACAGACCATACTTGCATAACTTATTGACTTGCAGGAGAGGAAGAATTTACTTATACTCAATGGGCTTACATTCTGTTAATTACGGTATACTTATATGAATCATGATCATACAGGGATGAAATGAGTGATTTAATCTTGATGTTAGTGTTGTGAAATTCTTGATTTGTTTGCTGTTAGTTTCACAGATTGTACGTATTCTATACTACTAAACTTCTAAAACGTTAAGAACCACCTTCATATTACTTTTCTTTCGTATTAATATAGTCCTTAACTTTTGTTGAGTAATATATGAAACAACAGACCTTAAAGTTTAATTTATTTGAGGAGCAATCAGTCTCCAGAATATGTTTTCTAAACTTACCAAACCAATATTTAAGAGACAAATCCATTACTTGAGGAGCCGTGTCATAAATACTGTAAATCGTGAAATTAATGTTCTCCAAAAGAATGCGACCACTGGCCCCGAGCCAAAAATGCCTTAAAGTTTTTTTATTCCTGAGGAGCAATCCGTCTTCACAGTTATGAGTATGTTTTCTACACTAACCAAACCAATTTTTAAGATACAAATCCATTACATGAGAAGCCATGTTATTTAAAAATCAGGCTCCCTGTTATTTTTTAATCAAACTTGAAAATAAACATTATCGTCTTTATAAAAACATCAAAGAGGTAATCAAGAGGTATCACCATGATGTAACTTCAAATAGAATATGGTGCCAAATGTAGAATTTGTCTCATTAATCAAAATGGCTTCCAGATTGAATGCTTAACAGGGATATACTGTAAATCTTGAAATTAACGCGAGCGTGAATTAAATGCGAATTAAATTGAGTCACATTTTTGGCTAGGGACCAGCGTTCGCATTCTTTTGGAGACGCATTAATTTCACGATTTACAGTAATAGTTTTGGACAAGAATTATTTGGGGAGCTCTGATCTCTCCGATGTACCCAAGAATTGATTATAAATGTCTTTGCATGACAGATGAAATGAGAAAATAATTGGCAAATAAAGGTGCAACTTATTAGAAATGACTTTCATGTACCCCAATTTTAATTAATGTCACTCTTAAATTGAAGGTCACATAATTATCTCCCCTCATACTCCGACATCCAAGCTCCTCACAGTAATAGCCTGTTCGCAGACAGCGCTCCCTGTACTATCACTGCCACCAGTCACAGCTCCCCACTGTGCTAGGTGTCTTGCAACCATGCATGGAGTATAACTCGCAACAACCGACTTCCTGTTATTTTTACAAACAAGTGATGACTGTTATGACACCGAATACACTTCTTCCAGCTAAATTTTTGTTGTTGTTATTTTGAATTTCTGTTTC